CCCGGCGCCAGCTTCTTCCTTTCTTTTCTCTTTGTTTCACTGTTCGCGGTGGGCCAGCGGATCTAGTGTGGGCAAGCTGAGGAGCTCCGTCCGTAGGTCTGTCGCGGATCAGGGAGCGCAGGGCACACAGAGGCACCGAGCTGCAGGGGCCTGCCCGCCCTGTGCCAGCCACCACAACCCCCGAACTCGTCCCAGACAAATGCCGGAAGGTCGCCGCACGGGGACTCTGTCCCCGTGCTCGGACCTTGTTTGTAATGCAGGAAAACGACTCCAGTTGGAGCACCATTTATAGTCGGCGCATGACAAATTTCCCGGGCACTCAAAACGTGTCTGTCATGCTAGTTAGGCAAAGGGGTGCCCTCCTCTCATGCTAATCAGGAGCCCAATTCTGAACCCGTAGATGCACAATAGTCGGCCTCCATTGCGTTCTCTGCAATACAGTCTTTTTGGTGTCGCATTTCATGCATCACAAATTACTTCCACATTGAGGATTTCCATTCTGAGGCTGTCATACTCCCTGCTTTGGCGACGCCGAATTTTGGCGGCGCCCCGGGCTCCGCAGCAGCTCATCCGACGCCCGCACGTTTTGCCGCATGCTTTCGGCGCGCAACCGCGCGGCCTCCGACTGCTCGTGTTGCGCGTTCTCGCGCTGGATCCGCTCCTGCTCGCGCTGTTCTCGCTCCTTCTTCTCCTGTTCCTTTTGCTCCTCTTCCGTCAGCCGCTTCGCTCCGTACCGGTACATATCAAGTGTAAAAGAATCTGGGTCTGGAAGCTTGCCAAGGTTGTCATGCATATTTTGAAAGACTCATGATGTCTGTGATGCATGCTCTAGCATGACAAATTTTTAGAGGCCTTTGTGATGCCTCTACCGCATAAGAAATGGCCTCTCCGGATAGCACAAACTGGAATTCTATTGCTGGTCATGCTATGCAATTTTTTTTAGAATCCAGACACAGCATCACAAGTTCCAACCTTCCAGACCCAGACATTTTTACATTTGATAGTACACCACCCGCCCGCGCAACGCTTTTAGCTCTTCCTTCTGACCTATGCATTGTAAACGCATCGCACATGTGTGAATTGCATTACAAATTTTTGCGTCAGCATTGCAAATGAAATTTTTTCTTGTAATGCGGACTTACCTTAGCAACTAGATTCGTAATGCATAAACGCAATTAGTACGAGTACGATACTTTTGCGATGCATATGGCCGCGCTTTTCCGCCTCGGACATTTGGTATTTGGCGATGGTTTCCAGCCGCTTTCTGTACCGCTCGGCCGTCTTATGAAAGTGCACAACTCCCCCTCCCCTCATGTGTATGGAATGGACAGCAATACAAGCAACGGCAGAAATGTCGCTTCCGCATGACAAATTTACGTGCGGACTGCAGTACTGTTTGAGCTTCGGAAATTTGTCATGCAGACAGTGCTGAGAGGTACGATGTGGATTTGGGTTTTCGCATTACAAATGATAATGATAATGAGAGCGGGGGGTTGTGCTTGTGCACTCTCATACGTCTGCTCCCCCGGCCGCAGGCTCGGGGAGGACTCCTCGCCCAGCCCGTCTGGCGAGCCTTCGTCTAGGTGCCGGTCGCCAAACCGGCCCCCGGGAGGATGTTGCTGCTGAAAGGTTGCTATCCACCGCAAAAGTACCAACGCACTTGTGCTAATTGCAGATATGCATGACAACAAATCACCTTCCGAAGCTAAAACAGCATTACAAAATTCATTTTTCATGCTGAGAAACAAATTTGTCATGACGATTTCTACTAGTAAGTACGATACTGTTGCAGAGGATAGTAGCTCCTGCCGCTGGCGCCCCAATCAGGGTCGGGTTCACGGTTGTTCTTTTATTGTTAGAAGACTTCTTGCTGGTCTATCAAATGCAAAAATGTCTGGGTCTGGAACAAAGTAAGTAACTTGTCATGCTAAATCTGGATCATCTAAAAATCTGTGTTGCGTGATTAGTAAAAACTGCCTCCCTATTAGATCAAAAGTCTTTTGATCTAATAGGGAGGCAGTTTCTCATGCAGGATATGCATGGTAGAACTCTCACAGAATCTGTCATGCTATGTCCTACATACCAGACCGCATGGGTCATGGAAAACCTGCATGACAAGTCTG